GATTGTCCTAGCTATTGTCTTTATACCTCAGGGCCCAGTTGATGTGTCCTTGTGAGTCCAGCTCCAGCTGCGTCACATTTTAGGACAGAGAATAATGGCTCCAGTATTATCTCCTAAATCAATAGCAAATTTACATCTATAGCATCTTGGCTACAAGTTTGGGATTTTTTAATAATTTCATTCATTAGTCCATTCAGAAAGATACCATGCTGTTCGTTTTTAGTTAGCAACTTCAATTAATTAGATAATTAACATGAATGACAACACTCTAAATTTACATAGTTTCTTACAGGTTATAAACCCCTTTTTGTTTAATCGTTTAACAAACATTTATTGACCTGCCTGTGTGCCAGGCACTATTCTATCATAGGGATACATCACTGAATAGAACAGACTTTGATACCTGCTCTCTTGGGGCTTATATTCTAGGGATGGAGGAAGGGGGAATACAGGTAATACATGAATAAATTACTAGTGTTTTAGAGTGTATTATGAGCTATGGTGGGAAAGTTTGCAATTTCTGGGGGAGAACGGGTTGTATAGCATTAAACAAATATTTACTTACCTCATTTAATCTTTACAACAATCCTGTCAGGTATTATTGTTATCATTCCCCTTTTATAAATAATACAACTGGGGTTTAAAAAGAGTAAGTAATTAGTCAAAGGTGCCTAACAACAGCAAAAGCAATTAGCAAGCAAGTGGCAAAACTGGAACTTGAGCTCAAACCTCCATGTCCTTGCACATCAAATGAAGTTCAATGCTTTTTCTCATGTTTAGCTTGCCTAGTTCATTATCCTGGGCACCTAGGAATGTGGCTGTGTTGCATTCCACTTGCCCGCTACAAGTTTAAAAATGCTGTCTCTGACTCCTATTGTTATGAGTCATCTTCCCTTTTCACACACATCCACCTATCTTCATTATCATTTTCTTATTATTAGCTTTTGAGTGTGTGTTTGAGTGTTTGTGTGTTTAACCTTGGCTCTAATTAGAATCAAGCGCTCTTTGGTTTTAGTTGAGAATATGCAGAAATATGTTGGATTTGGATAGCCCAGCTGTTTGAGTTTTGAGGCCAGTTTTTAATTAGACGAAGTTGCAAACTTGCTCTGTTGGTGGCCTGAGAGTAGGATTTACTCCAAAGCAATTTTAACTATTAATTAAACATTTCATGTATTTTTTATACTGAACCTTATTCCACAAAACATTTGTGATGATTGAAGATTACTATTATATGTTCTTTTTCCTCTCCTGTATCATTTCTTAAAAATTTTGATACAAATTAGATTTTGATAAATCCATTAGGTTGTTTGTTTGGTAGCAATAATTTATTCCTAGCTGATGATTAAAGCATCATATTTAAGAATTTTTTTGAATTGTACGAGAGTTATTTATTTTTTCTTAATCTCAAAGCCATTTTTAGTAATACAAAAAAGCCGTATTAACGTATTTCCATTAAAAAACAATGTGATGTACAAAACTCTGGATGAAAAGGTATAAGTAAAATTTCATTTAATCACTTGGAGAAAATTTCACCACTCCATCAATACCACCCAAAATGTTTTAGGCAGCGATTAAAATAAAAATAATGCATCTTAATAAATTTCAGCTGTTAAAAGAACAAAACTGCCAATAGGTAGTAATTTGCTACACAGTATTTTTGACAAAGTAGTTATTTTTAAAAATCCTTTCTTTTACTGAGTTCCGTTACATATTTAAGAATTTTCAAGGGTCATATGTTAAGTTGTTGGTTTGCATTGAAAGGTTGACCTCTTGGAGTTGCTCTTCTGCCTTTAATTGAACTCGTGGTGGTTATTTTTAGATAATGTGTAAAAGAGCGTCAAGAGACAGAGCCAAAACGGTCTTATCTGCTTTTATATAAATTAAATTGGTCTTTCAACCCAGCATAAAATCTTACCACTAACAGCAGTTATTTATTTTGATAACAGAATTAATTGAGGTTAAAACGGTTGAAATTCCAGTTGTAGGGAACTATTCATTAGGACTGTCACAAAAAAAAACAAGCTTGCCTTATGATTAACCAACAGTAAGATGGGCAGTAGACTGCATTTTAGGGAGATGGTGAATAAACTTTCTATTTGTGAGACAGTTCAGAAGTGACATGCTGCGGGGAGGCGGGGGAGTCAGAATGTGCATTCATATCCAGCTGAGCTGTCACCTGGCTCTGAGCCAGGCATGCAAAGCCTTGCCATGTGAAGTAGCATGTGGAGTATATGCCGTTTGAAAAAGAAAACCTTTTCCATGCATGATTTAATATATTTTTAAAAGAGTATTTAGTTTTATGATACCAGAAACTTTAGTATTTCTATCTTTAATGGAAAAGCTTACATGTAGATGGTACTAAATTTGAAATTTTTAATATATTTTATGGTTTGAAAGGATTTGGTGTTTTATATTTCAAAAAATTGTTTTTTGTTTCAAGTAGTTTATTTTCATTGGACATTTCCTATTTCAGATGGATTGTTAAAAGGATGTTTAGAAAAGATAAAAGAAAAAAGCAATCAGGAAGTGTCTAATATAGGCAAAAGGTTTTATGAGACAAAATATAGAATTCTGTTTGAAGGCATTGATTTTTATAGAGTTAAGGGATGCCTTTATTATTTTCATATATATGAAGTCATCTAAATGTCTTAAAAGACAGAATTGATTTTTCTGTATTTACCATATTGAAGCACGGAGACTTTACTAAGATGATGTTGTAAAAAGTCCTCTCAAATATTATATTTTTTAATATTTGTTAACAGTGCAATTTGCACCAAAATCTATTGTCTGAAAATTTCACAAACTGTTGTGTAATGGATTTAAAAACAGTTCATTTTAGATTTTGGTGATGGTTCGCCACAGTGTGGCACAGGTATTTCATTTTTGTTTTTATGATTTTTTTCCTCTCTGGAATAAGCCCATAGCCTGAGTGTTAGAGATTTTGTAAATTGTTACTGGGCACAAATTATGTGCTGTGTAGCTGTAGGAGAAATTTTGACTTAACACATTTGCGATTGCCTTTTTGTATAAACTCTTCTTCAGATTTATTTGACAGATGGTTGTCTTTTCTGAAGCTTTATTAGTAAGTGGGAAATTTAATAATACATAATAAGCTGTTGATAATTTTCTTCATAATTTTTAGACCAAGTAAAAAGTTGCTAATTATCAGGTGCACATATCTTAAGTTCCTTACGTTTATTGATGATCAGTCTGTCCTCATCTCATTGTAAATTTTGTTAAACTATGCCTCAAAGGGATTCTAAGAGCAAGCTCAGTACCCTATATTTCCATGATTTCTCAGCTTCCAGATTTGCAGAGTGGACTTGAATAAAGTCCTTACATTTTTAATTAGGCCATTTTCTGACTCTGTGGCTTTTTTTGGAAGTAGTAAATATATTTTTATTTTCTTAGTCATATGATATATATAGAAGAATACCCAGATAAGGGAGATACTGACAATTAATGATTAGGGCCTATTTAATTAACTCACTTTTATGTTTACTTTTGTTATTCTGCTTGTCACTACATGCTAATTTATTCAATTTGAGTAGAAACTGGGATTGAATAGAAATAAATCTTAGAAAGGGGAGGGAGGAACATTTAGCCAACATTTTTAGATGCTCCTACTTGTAGAAGAATCTTTCTTGTTAATTAATGGTTTTCTTTCATAAAGGAGTGATCAGTAAGAACGCCAATCACACATTTGCTTATAGTTGTAGTTAAGCCTAACATCTCAGAAGGACCACTCTTTTTTTTTTCACTCTGTTCTTCAAGTTCTGTTTTTAAATTTTTTGATGTAGTGGGGTATACAAATTACCATTAATGCATTATAAATTATTTCCTAAAAATGCTGGACTTTCATAAATTTATGTATATTATAAAACAGGGCTAACATGACAGTTTAATGGGAGATAATTTTTTATTTGGTCCGATATTTAGCTTTTGGGATATTTCAGTAGGAGAGTAATTTGTGGTTAAGAGCTTGGCTGCTAACCAAAAGGTTGGCAGTTCGAATCCACCATCTGCTCCTTGGAAACCCTATGGGGCAGTTCTACTTTGTCCTGTGGGGTCACTAGGAGTCGGAATCGACTAGACGGCAGTGGATTTGGTTTGGTTTTTTTACTGTCTAAATAATTTGGTATTTCACATATATGAAATATACCATATTTTATGCTATTTAAGGCTAGTCTCAGCAGTCCTGTCATTTCAAGGCTATTTTAATTATTTTCTAGCTGATTCTATTTCTTCATCTCTTTTCCTCTGTCGCACATACCAACGCTAAATTAATTTTCCTTTAAACAGTTTTGCAAGTGTGTGTGTGTATAACTTTCTCATATGAAAACTCTTTTCATTGCCTGCAAAGTACATTTCAAATTCCTTGATCTGCTCTTCAGAACCTTACTGTGTGAGGAGGCATGGACTTTACAGTTAGAGAGGTCTGGGTTGTAACTGCAGCACCATCGCTTAGTTCATATGTAATTAATTCATTTACTTGTTCAACAAATATTTATTGAAGGCCTTCACTTGCCAGGCATTATTCTAGGTATTGGGGATACAGTGGTTAACAAGACAAAGTCTCAAGCTTAAGTTCTAGTAGCGTAGCAAATACTTGATCCCCCTCCCCTTTCCATGGGCACAACCAAGGATCCAGCAACTGCCTCTCATGCTTGTTTTCTCTCATCAAGTCTACTGCAGGCTTCCTGAAGGCAGAAACTATATATCAGATCTCTGTGTCTCCAGTTCTGTGGTAACACACAGGAAGTTTTTTTGGTAAAATTTGACCGTAAGAAATAATAATTTCTTAAATGATTACTGATATTTAAAAAAATTTTTTTTTGGTGAAAATATCAATTTATTACTGATATTTTAATTAACATTGTCAGATAATACTGGAAAATATTTCACAAAAAGTAAAAAAATGTAATGGGATCTGATTTGATATTTATTTTCGACTAGCTATTTGGTTTCTACTAGAAGTTGTTAATTTGTTTTTTTTCCAGGCCTAATTGAATTTGAAGAATGTGACCCTGCTAGTGCAGTTGAAGGTAAGTTGAATAGTTGTAATGTGTTAATGCACATGGCAACTGGCTAGTATCTTCTGTTTATTGAACAGATAAAGAGGGGCTGCTGTTCATTGATGTCAGCCTGTCTGTGGAGTGATGTAAAAATCTGAATGTAATTTTCAGATCCAATATTTGCTTAATAAATACGTGATAGGTTTGCCCAAAGGAGTATTAGTGTGTTAAACATATATTTAAAAAGCTAAATATAATATATATTTGTTTTCAAATACATGTTGAAATTGTTTTACCCATTGACATCCATCTTGAAGCCTTCTAATATCATACATGTGAAAGTCATCACTTCACATTAATGTATACTGTTTATACTGGATAATGTTTTGGTAATTAGTGAGGTTATGCATTAATGTTAATATTACCACAATTTAAAATGGATGATGATTTGATTTGGAGGAAGGGTCCACAACCAGCCTGACTTCTATTTAAATAGGTGGTTTTTTTATAATATGAAACCCAAGAGATGCCTGCTATTTTTGTTCTTGTTTTATATATCTCACTTTGTGAGCTACTATAAATAATTTGGAAGTAGTGTCCTATTTTTTTTTCCAAGCCCCGTGTAATAATTTTAAGAAATGGTTTGCTATAGTGTGTAAGTTGGTTATTGGAACAGTCAGTAGCCCTGGGGTCTAGGCTTCTTGTAGTCACTAGCTATTTGAGAGTAGTAATTATTTAAGTTTTCTGTACTTCAGTTTTCTTTGTTGTAAGATGTGGGTAATAAATAATACCTATTCTGAGAATAAGAATATATTTGATTTAAAAAATATCATAACATGCTGCACAATGGTATGGTTTAAGAAGGCAGCTTTGCAGGCTAGCAAGTACATTTTTCTGGGATACCTGGATTCTTATTCTAGCCGTGTTATTTACTAGCTATATTGCTGTTGTTACCTGCTTGAGTTGCCCCCTACTTATGGCGAACCCGTGCATGATGGGGCGAAATGCTGCCTGGTCCTGCGCCATCCCCACGAGCAGTTGCGGGTTAGATCATTGTGATCCATAGGGTTTTCATTAGCTGATTTTCAGAAGTACCATATTTTAGCCAAATAATGTGAGCCTTTTATGTTTGTTTGCCAACTGCTTCCTCCCCCACGGGGTATTTTTGTAAGCACACTCTGCTGATCTTTTTTCTTAGCAACGTATAAAAAAAACTGGCATAGCGGCACTTATGCAAATACCCTGCAGAAGGGAGAGAGCGGTTGGCAAACAAACAGAAGGCACGCGTTATCTGTGTAAAAATACGGTGGATCACCAGGCCTTTCTTCCTAATCTATTTTAGTCTGGAAGCACTGCTGAAATCTTTTCAGCATCATGACAATATGCAAGCTTCTACTGACAGGTGGTGGCTGTGCATGAGGTGCATTGGCTGGGAATCAAACCCAAAATAGTGACTAAAAGAAAAAAAAAAAAACCCTTGAGTTTCCTTACCAATAAAATGAGGGCATCAGCCTAGGTGTGACCTAAGGTCCCTTACTGTTCTGCTTCAAAGAATAAGCAGCTAAGGTTAAAGTGCTGACTTCCATCAACAATTAATAACATGACCGACCTTTAAAAAATAATTTGTCATGCAGTTAGAGGATGAAGAACTACCATATTAGGGAAAAAAAAAGGTAATATTTGCTCCTCAGCTATGGTGACCCATTTATAACATTGATTATATCAGAGATAAGGTATAGACACAAGAATGCCATGTTCTGTGCTAATTGGATCTGGCTGGTCATCTTTTTATTTAAAACAACACATTTATTTACGATGACCCTGTAGACAGGGAACATGATTTGACCTACATTTGTAACAAAATCTTATATAATGAAGTAACATCCTGTCTTTGAAGATTTAAAATATCTGCATATGCTTATTTTGCCTGGGGTGACTTAGGGAAGATTTAGGAGAAGGACAGAGAATTTCAGTGATCAAGTGAATATTCTCTAACCTTTTGATGAATAATAGATTATGTTATACTTATAAAGAAAAGTCTAAACAGACTGTGACTATGATTTACATATTGGGGTTTTAGTAGTTGATATTTTTATTTCCTTTCATCAAATTTAGCTTCAGTGGTTTATGAGCAAATTACCTGTCAAAATACAAGATATAGTCAATAAGTTCAATATAGTTGCCAGGAACAGTTGATGTTTTTATAACAATATGCATTTTTTTTAAAGGTATAAAACCAAGGAAAAGAAAGACTTTTGCTTTGCCAGGAATAATTAAAAAGGAAAAAGATGCAGAATCTGTGTAAGTATATTCAATACTATCAAAATCATTTCCATTGTTATAAATCATTAAGAATAAGGCAGTTGTTTTGAATTTGGGAAGCTAAAATTCTTCTGGAAATAACTAAGTTCATATGTCTAAGGCATGAAGAAATGTAAACCTTTCTAAATAACACATTTGTCAGTTTTCTGCTTTTAGTTCAAAATATTAACTATTTAAAAAGTTTCAACAGAATAGGTGAAAGCTTTAGTATCTTGAAATTGAAAAGTTTTAAATACCCTTTTTAAAATAAAATGATACATGCATCTTTTAAAAACTTAAAAGTGCAGAAAAACTAAAAAGAAATCAAGATCCTAATGCCTAAGAGAAAACCAATGGTCAGCAATTTGGTGAAAATTCTTCTAGACAACTCTAAGCATATAGACATACAGTGATGTGTGTATACATAAATGGAAAATGTTAAATGAGGGAGAAAAAAAGCCCTAACATGTTTTACTATTTGTACTAGGTCATTTTTAGATGGAATATTTGATCCATTTATAAATCAGATTTACCTTTTGAAAAAATAAGAAATTAGTATACAAAGGATACATAACTAGCACATAAGAAATTGACCTAGTATTAGCTAAGCAGAGTTTCAATGTTGACTACATATTAAGACTAAAACAAAGGAAAATTAAAATAAATATACCTATGCCCAGGCCCCACTTTAGAACAGTTAAATCAGATTCTTTATAAGGCCCCAGTATAGTTGTTTTCTTTTTTAAAGTAGCCCATGTGATTCCTAATATGCACCCAGGGTTGAGAATCATTGAACTTTGATTAATTAGAGACAAACTAGAATTAAAAGAATCTTTCTTTCCATAATTACTCAACCTGTTTATAGACTGAAGAGACTCTAATAAAAAGTCTTAAGTGATTTGTTGACCCAGTAAAATTGACAAAATTGATTAAAAATCCCCACTTCTCTAGCATAATTAGTGGAACTGTCATGAGATTTAATATTTTGATGGGCCTTCATCTTTTCAACTTGAGAAAACAGTTTTTGCTTTGGGTGTTCTTGTTTCTTGTTGGTTAAGAGTTGGCTCTGACTGTTGGTAACCCCACATACAACAGAACGAAACATTTCTTGATTCTGCACTGTCTTCACAATCAGTGGTACACTCCAGTCCATGGTTGTGACCAATGTGTATTTTGAGTGCCTTCCAACCTAGGGGGCTCATCTTCCAGCAGTATGTTAGATAGTATTCTGTTGTGATCCATAGGGTTTTCATTGACTGATTTTCAGAAGTAGATCGCCAGGTCTTTCTCCTAGCCCATCTTAGTCTGGAAGATCTGCTGAAAGCTGTCCACCATAGGTGACCCTGCTGGTATTTGAAATACTGGTGGCATAGCTTCCAGCATCATAGCACAACAGTAAGACAAGCTGTAAGACAAACTGACAGATGAATGAATGGTGGTCTCACCTCCTACCTAGTTATATTTCTATCATCTGACTTTCTCTAGATTCTGTATGTCTCTTCCTCCTCCAAGGTGGTGTTTGGTTAACAAATTAAGACCAAAATGATTTATATCTGTAGTTAACATCTCTTCTGCAGATGTTTTTCTTAAACTTTTAAGAAGGGAGTACTTCTCTGAGGAGATAGAACCTGATCTCTTTCTCTCTCTTTTTGTTTTTTTTTAACTTTAGCAATATATTTTACTTGACCCAGTACATACAAAATATTATAGGCTCGCGATCTATGCGATCTGCTTCTGGAAATCAGCCAACAAAACTCTGTGATTTTTACGACAGTTAAAAAAAAAACCCTATTGATCACAACAGTTCGATCCCATTGTGCATGGGGTCGCCGTGAGTTGGGGGCCGAGTCGGGGGCCAACTCAGGCACAGCTAACAACAGTAACTATTATCATTGCTACATGCAGTCAACATGCGTCAGCTATGCTGGACACTGACCACCTGGCCAGGTTAGGGAAGGTGGGAAGATAGGCCAAGAGGGCTGCTTTCTTTTTTTTATTTTACAAAATTTATTGTGGTAAAATATATATAATATAAAATTTGCCATTTTAACCATTTTAAGTGTACAGTTCAGTGGCATTAATTACATTAACCAAATCACCATCGTCACTATCTATTCTCGACACTGTATCATCACCCCGAGCAAACTCTGTACCCATGAAGCAGTAACTACTCTTTCCTTCTTCCAGCCCCTGGTGACCTCTAATCTACTTTCTGTCTTTATTCATTTGCCTATTCTAGATAGTTCATATAAGTGAGATCGTAAAATACCTGTCCTTTTGTGTCTGGCTTACTTCACTCAGCATGGTGTTTTCAAGGCTCATCCACGTTGCAGCATGTATCAGAACTTCATTCCTTTTTATGGCTGAGTAATATTCCATTGTGTGTATATGCCACATTTTGTTTATCCATTCATCAGTTAATGGACACTTGGGTTGTTTTCACCTTCTGGCTATTGTAAATAATGCTGTTATGAATGTGAACATTGGTGTACAAGTATCTGAGTTCCTGTTTTCAGTTCTTTTGGGTATATGACTAGAAGTGGAATTGCTGGGTCGTATGGTGTTTCTGTTTAACTTTTTTGAGGAACCACCAAATGTTTTTCTGCAGCAGCCACACCATTTTACAATCCCACCAACAATGGAGGAGGGTTCCAGTTTCTCCACATCATCTCCAACACTTTCTACTTTTTTGTTAATAGCCTCCAAGTAGAAGTGAAGTAGTATCTCATTGTCACTTGATGTGCATTTCCCTAATGACTTAAACATCTTTTTATGTGCTATTGATCATTTGTATATCGTCTTTCCACCCCTGTCCGTCTTACTGTGGTGGCTTTCATGTTGCTGTGATGCTGGAAACTATGCCACCAGTATTTGAAGTATCAGCTGGGTCACCTATGGTCCTAATCTCTTTTTATAACATTGGAGATACATATTAAAGTCTCAACAATTGATTTGTGAATTTTTTAAATGTAACCAGTTAATATCCTCGTGACTACTTTGAAGGATGATAGCCTTAAATTAAAATATTTTTATAATGTATGGCCTTCAAACTGTTCTTTCAGGGAGCTTATAATATCTTTGCTTATTACATGCTTTTAAAGCAGTTTTTAATGATCAGTAATTGCCCAATATGATCATTAAGCCGCTTGGATATTAGACTGTTTTTAGCAATGAGAAGACGAGGGCAGAAGCCAGTGCTTAAACCACTGGACCATCATCACCTTCTTTCAATACTTCTTGGCAGAAAAATATTAGAATTTAGCTCTACATGAAATGCCAGAGGCTGTTGGGATGCCTCTTCTCTCATAGCCAGAAGGCTTTTGCCAGAGTTGGAGAGGAGGGGTCCTGCTCAGAACTACTCTTGCTGGGGCTTCACTTGCAGGTCTCATACAGCCCACTGGGAAGACAAACAAAGGAGTGCTTTACCACAGAGACTGGAGAGTTCTGGTTTACAGCCAGAAAATAAGCTGTTTGGAACTTTAACATTTAATTTTATATTTAAACTGTATCTTTAAAAACAAGAAGAAAATAGAAATATTCTAATATTTTAATTGATTTGATTCTCTAGAAGATTTGAATTTATTGTCATAGTGCCTTTTGTGAACATTTCCTCAGAGTATGCATATGCTTTTGATATAGTATTTTTCATCTGCTAATGATAAGGAAGCTGTATTTCAAAATTTGCAATTTTAAGTGGATATAAAGACCCATGTAGTTTGCACATTTACCCTATCTGTTTGGTGGTGCTTCAGTTTGTGTTGAGAGCAGTGTAGTCATCTTCCTGCTCTTTCGTTTTCCCAGTCTTTTAGATCCTGTCTTCCTTAAGCAAAGCAATTGGTAGATTTTTCTGGTTTGTGCTTAGTCTCTGGGTAGGTAGAGATATTACCTGTTTAACTCCTCTATATACTAATTTAAGGAGCCCTAGTGGCACAGTGGTTAAGCATGTGGCTACTAACAAAAAGGCTGGCAGTTCAAACCCACCAGCCACTCTGCAGGAGAAAGATTACAGTCTAGGGAAACCCTGTGGAGCCGTTCTACTCCATCATAATCGGGTTGTTATGAGTCGAATTGACTCAATGGCACATAATAACAACATATACTATTTTAGTGCTTTTTATTGTTCATTTAGCTGTTAAGGTACTCAGTGCCTACATGTTTTCAGTCCATTATTAAAGTGGCAGATTCTGATATATGCGTTAATTATATCAAGCGAAGAATATGTAACTGATCCAAATGTCTTTTAAATCTGCACTCTCAGTTTTGTTTGCAAATTTGTTTTGGAATATATACATAGAAATTCTTCTAACCTTATTCCTCATATCCCCATATTTATGTCTTCTTCCGTGATTGAGGTTGGTCATCTTTATGTTTTAGTTTTATATTTAAAATAATAGTTTTCACCACCTTATATCCAAATTCAATATTTGGTTTCAGTTAAATGATAAATACCAGTTCTCAGTACATATTACATTAGACTAGAAAGTTATTCCAACTTGAAGTCTAATTAACTACTCTTTTAATATATTTGGAGAAAACTGGTTTTGACATCTATATATGTTAGGTTATAGAAAGTTCTTTAAATAACACTGAGTTAAAAAAATATTTAAAAGTGTTATTTACCAATAAATAAATAAATGTATCCACTTCTGTTATGTTTGAAACTTCGTGATACTTAATATAGAATTTTAAAAGCCAGGTTTTTTTTTTCCTTTGAGAGAATTAAATTATTATTATTATTTTTAACTCTCTGTACTTTAAGAATTAAAAACCACCGGAAATCCTGGACTTTCTTGATATGAAGCTTAAGTATATTCATGGAAAAGAAGCACACCTACTCCTCACTTACTGACTCTGTTGTTATCTGACATTTCACTTTTAGGACAATAGTAAAAAGTCTATCTGACTATTTTGTGCATTAATGAGGTGGTGAACATGGTGGCAACAGCTGTGGAGCATCTCCTCCATTGAAGACGGCCTCCCCGTGCTGCCCCAAGCCCTCCGCTCCCTCCTGCAGGTGGGGGCGCCAGGCTAGCTGCTGCTTAGGGCCAGCCTTCTCCGTGGCCACCACCGCACAGGCAGCACTGAGCCAGCGGATGCCTGTTCTGGGTTCACAGCTCTTATGTGGCCTGAGGTCCTGCAGCTCAGAATTGCTGTGGGAGTGGGAAAGGAGAAAAGAAAGAGGCATCAGAGAAGAAATGTGTGCGAGTTTAACAATACCCTAAAGTGAGCCGAAGTGGGCCTCTAAGCCTCTGCCTTGGTGGGGCCGAGTTAGCAGCCAGGCTTCCAGCGCACTGGCAGGAAGCCCCGAGCCTTGGTGATTTGCCAGGCCCAGAGGGCAGAGCAGGCACCCAGATCGTGAATGGAGGCCTTGCAAGGGTGGGAGTGTAGACCTGGAGGCGATTCTGCAAGGGAAGTGCTGACCCAGCACTGGAGGAAGGTGACGTGATTAAGCCATGGGCCCTCCAATCACACAGCCTGGCTTTATCCAGCTTTGTCTTCCAAGCCTGCTCCTTCTCAGAGGAATAGTCTATAACTGGACTTAACCACAGTGATGAGCACATCAGTAAATCTTAGCTATTATTATTTCTATGATCATATTTTCTAAATTAAAAAAATCGGACAAATGGATGGTTGGTCTGAAAATAGAAAAAAAATCCTCCATTTTCACTTAACACCAATTTTCACTTAAACGACCTCATCTTTGGAACTTAACCATGTTGATAAGTGAGGAGTGGGTGTACTTTTGAAAGTAGTTTTAAAATACTTGTAAGTGATTCGTGTTCTACTTTGTCATGAATTATGGGTATAGGAAACCTTTTAAGAATTTTAAAATAATTTGATGAATTTTAATCTTCATGTTTCGGTTTCTCTAAATATTTTTGTAGAGTTTAATAAGTAAGTTATGTTTAAATACTAGGCTAAGCACTTTAAATATAATTAGTCTACTGTTCTAATAGTTGAATATTTCTAATATTTTGTTTGTCTTAATAGGGAGTGCCCTGATGCAGATTCACTTGTAAGTAGATCTAACCATAACCATGTTGTTGTAAATTTACTATTAAGATTATTTTACAAATGCATTTTAGCTTTAATTGTCAGACACTTTCCTATGGAACAGAAGGTTTTTCTACCTACCTTTCAAAAGCAGACATTTTACTTTTAAAATTGGGAGTGGTGCAGTATTACATTGCTTTTTCTGGGGAAACATGCCAGATATTAAATTTGCATGCTACATTCTAAAATGCAGTATTTTTATTAATTTAGTCATAGATCTGTTAAAATACTACTTTATGTCTTCAAGTGTTTTGAGTTTTGTTAAGAGATTGTCATTTTAGAAACAACAAAGCAACAACCATTATCTGTACTTTTCTGTTCTTTGTTTTGCTTTAAAAATTAAAAGTTTATATTTCTTGTTTAAACTTGTTTTCTTATATATAATACAAGAAGACATCAAACAGAGCTCCCTTTAATTTTATTGGGAGAGTAAGTTTCCCAAATGTAAGTAATGTGTAGTGGACACATTTTTCAAACTTTTCATTAGACACTGGTCATGTTGATAAGTGTAGGAAGATCAAACTATCTTTCTCCTTACATAAGCATTTTTTCCTTTGGCCCAAAAACATTTTTGATCTTTTACAGTATAATAGTGTACAAAAACAAAGAACTAAAGATATTTTGTGAAACATTTTGTTTTATGTTACTTACTTAAAATAAAACTAGTATTTTGTGTTATATTTCAGCTTTAAAGTAAGAAAGCTATGAATTGTGAATAAATTTTTAGTGAAAATAAATAGATGTCTGATGAACTCTAGGATTAAAATTATCAGAGTGTTTGAGTTATAATATTTACCTTTACCACTTGCCTGTTTTGATACCCTTGGTTTACTAATTGATGAAAATGCCAGAAGATATGGTTGCTATTTGATTTGTGTACTTACCATGTACTTTATTTCTGAGTTAATTATTTATAGCACTTAATTTGATGATTGCAACATTGAATAAAATTGTTTAGTACTTCGTTTGATTTTATATATACTCTCTTTAAAGAAAACATTTTAAATTCTCTCACTAGCTCATTGATACTCTTCTATAATCAGTATTATCCAGTTTTGTACTTTAATCAGTACTTATCTGGAATTAGGAAAGAGCTTTTAAAGTGAACACAAAGATCTAATATTGTGTAGGAAATGATAGATAAATTGGACTGTGTAACAATGAAAAACATAATTAAAAAAACGAAAACAAACCACCATAAAAGGATTTGAATCATCAGAGACAAACTGGTGGAGCATATTTTAACACATGTTATTACAAGGGGCTAATTGCTTCCGTTTATTAAGTTTTTATACAGATTGGTACAATGGTAAGCAAGCACCCAATAAGAAAAGCACATAGGATAAAAACAGGCAGTTTTCATAAAAAGAAATAAAAGTGGTCATAAACATAATAAATATGCTCAAAATAGTCTCATTCTGATACAAATCAGAATGAAATTACTGTTTATCATACGGGCAAAAATTTTTAAGTTTGAATCATTCATACTGTTGGTAGGAATGTAAATTGGTGCAGTTTGTTCTGTATATCGTTTGGTAGTATCTCCCCAAATAAGAAATGCACGTTTTTTTTGACCAAGCAATTTTGCTGCTAGGAATTTAACGTTATGGCTATATTCACAAAAGTTTTTAAAAATACGCACACATACACACACATACACACACACACACGACTGATATCTATATATATAATATCTCTGTATGTATTCTCTGTCTCTATCTCTACATATATATTCAACAATGTTGAAAAAAACATCTCTCTCCTGAGAAAGATATATTTATTTCAATATTGCTTATATTGACAAAATACTGAAAACAACAAGCATCCATCACAGTGGGGACTGGTTAAATAAATTATTAAACTTTCACTTGATGGGGTATGTTGTTGTTAGGTGCCATTGAGTCAGTTCCAACTCATAGTGACCCTGTGTACAACAGAACAAAACACTGCCCAGTCCTGTTCCATCCTCACAATCATTTCTATGTTTGAGCTCATTATTGTAGTCATTGTGTCAGTCTGCTGGAGTATAGTCATATGTTATAAAGAATTAAGTTGATATGTGTCTGCTGGAAGAGCTTACTTTTTAAAAGTAAAGGTGATATTTTAAGAGGAGTCCTTGGGTAGCACAAATGGTTAACCACTCAGCTAGCAACCAAAAGGTTGGCTGTTCGAACGTTCCCAGAGGCACCTCTGAAGACAGACCTAGTTATCTGCTTCTGAAAGGTCACAGCCTTGAAAACCTGTGGAGCAGTTCTACTCTGCACACGTGAGGTCACCATCATGAATCTGAATCGACTTGACGGCAGCTAACAACAACACTGTTGAAGTAATTACTGCTTTAAAAATATAAATTTTGGAACAGACAGTTCACCAAAGAAGACATTCAAATGGCCAACAGACAC